ATTCTTTAGGAAGTTACTGATATTTTGGTATTTTATAATTAATAAGAAGATAATTATACTTCACGTTTGGGAAATTAGGCATATATCCGCATTCAACTATTAAATAACATTTAATTTAGATACATACCTTCTTATTCTTTAGAAAATCCCCAGTATATGTTTTTTTTAAACAGAAAATCTCGGTTTCAATTAAAACTTTTGATTTGTTATTAATTATAAAGAAAATTTTCAATTTTTAACAAATAATTCTTAAGTTTGCTTCAAATAATAAGAATCAAAATAAATTTACTTGGATACAAAAAAATAATTACTTAAAAGTAAAATACTAAAAGTTAATTAATATATATAAAATTTGGTTGTATTATTACATATAATGCTCGATGTTTTTACAGTTTAAATTTTGTGAGTTATTCTATGAGGCGACAAAATAGTTGTCAAATAAAAATAAATTGAAAAAATATTTGATCATTTTTATTATATCCTATTAACATAAACATTAATCAACATGAAACAAATTAAAAAGATTAATTATACCTAATTTCAGTTTTAAATCTTTTAAAATAAACATAACCAGTTATACTATTTTGATTTTCATATGAAAATAATATCCGCACTTTAAAATATATATATGTCAAGTAAAGTTTTAATAATTTGGAATACATTTTGTGATAAAAATATTAAACTTTTACCCCCTAATTTAAAAAGAGCGGGTGTCCATATAATATTTCCCACTTGCGTGTCAAATTTTTGAATAAAAAATGATTCAATTCGCAACAGAGCGGGTTGACCCGCAAACCCAACAATGATTTATATTATGGTACGTATAAAATCTAAATAATTATATGATGACACGTATATGATATTTAATACTGATATGAAAAACAAATAGCAATATATTTTTGGAAAAATACACCCAGTGGACAAAATCTAGTTTGCATTAAGTTAGTTACACATCAACAGTCACAGTTATTTAGAAAAGAGTCATATCGTTATAAACATAAATTTGTGTCTTTCTAAACATAAAGTCTTATAGTATCTATTCTATTAAAATAGAGTCGTTCTTTTTATCTACTGATACAAGTTGTCATTTAAATTTGGATTCTCTTTAGAATGTTACAAATAATACAAATCATATAGTTGACTAAACCGCATAAGCTAAATTAAACCAGCGGTTATTTATGGGATAGAGTATTGGGCTTAATTTTATTTTTAAGGCAAATTATATGGTTTGGTTTTTGGGCTTTCTATTATGAAGAATACTCCAAAATACATTGAATAAACTTTTCACCTTAATGGATCGAAAAATTAATTATTATTTTCAGTCCCAAAGGTATTTAATATTTTTAAGAAAACAAAATTTTCTATTACTAATCACTTATTTGAATCATATACTTTAAAACATGTTAACGCATTTTTTATTTTAAATAACAAGCACTCTGTTTTGATAAATTTCAATGGTAACTTTTAAATAGTTTATTGATTTATTTTTCTTAAATATTTACTAATTTAAAAAAAAAATATAAAGCAAAACTAAAAACCAAATCTAAAAATTAAAATCCAAAACCAAAAGTTAAAAATGCGGGTTTGCTTTTGTTTATTTACAAAATTAACTATTGCAATTTTTTTTTTAAAAAAATTGTCATCTTTTCAGTTTTAAATTAGATGTTCGATTATTTGAGATTTGTTAATATCAGTTCAAAGTAACTCAGTGGATCTAAAAACTAAAAACTCAAACCAAAAGGTGAAAACCAAAAATAAAAACTTAAAAACTAAAAACCAAAAACAAAAATCTAAACAAAATCTAAAAATAAAAACTGAACTGAAAACTAATGCAAAACAATCATTACCATAAATTTTGGATTACTGATTTTATACCAAACATACTTTAAATAAAGACAAAATCCAATTATATAATTTTTTAATCATAAAAAATTTACGCGCTTTCAAGTGCGGATCAAAATCTAGGCTTTGAATGTGACACACGACAAATCCAGAATAAATGCAGGCCATTTATAATGCAGATTAGATTGGAATTTTTTCTCCATTCAACACAATTTTTGCAGAACAAAAATAAATAATTAAAAAATAAAAGATCTGCATGCAGAATTAAATTACACAGCAAATTTTTGATCTGCAAATAAGGAGAGAAAATGAGCTGGACATTTGTAGATCACTAATAATATATATTTAATTGTTTTGGTTATAATTATTAATATATAATATATTTTACTAATTCATGTTATTTACTTTTAAACTAAATAATTAAATTTTTAATATAATATTTAATATTTTACTTTATGAAATAATTTATTTAAAGCGAATTTTTAATATATAATATATTTATTAATTCATGTTATTTCCTTTTAAACTAAATAATTAAATCTTTAAAATAATATATAATACTTACAATTATAAATAATTTATTTTAAAAATAATTTATTTGCAATATAATAATTTTATACATATTTACATAAAATTAATATATTTAATATATACATAATTTTTTATATTTTGTTTACAATAATTAGATATATATATATATATTATTTTTGTAATATCTATTTTTGGCTGCACTAAAAATTAATATATAGTATTTAAATTGATAGAAAAACATACATAAATTATACATTTATCTTTTTCTAATTAGCTTTGATATTTTCAGGTTGTTTTTACATTTAAAGTTTTTAATGAAGATTTTGTTGATAAAATATTAGTTTTTTAGTTGAAAGAAATGATAGGCAAGAACCAAAATTGAGTAAAAATATTAAATTTAAGTGCAAAACAAGAATATTATTTATAATTTCATTTATGTGAATTTTCATATAATTTAAAATTTCAATATCTTTATTAAAATTATGATATCTATTGTTATTTATGTCAATTTGATATATATTACTTATTTATAATAAGTTGTATTTGTTTATATATTTAATTTTAATTAAAAATATTTAACATTTATTTAAATATAATAATTTATTAAATTAGTTTGATCTGCATTTGTTCTGTTTGATCTGCATGATCTGCATTTGTTCTGCTTGATCTTCATTTTTGTTTGATCTGCATTTTGTGATCTGCGTTCTCCATTCGGAGCCCTAGTGTTGTTATTATATTTAAACGTCATTCCTGTGATGTCAATACAAATAAGTTTATGTAAATACTTTGTTTTCTCTATATATAAACAGAGCACGTTTGTGTGAAACCTTTGTGTGCCTTGATCAAGAAGAAACAATTTCTTCCAACACAAGTGACAGCTCTTGTACTTTGTAGCCCAGTAGGAAAAATAATGGGCTTGAGGATGACAAGCAAAAGCAGCGATGATTGATTATGACTAGATTTACACACACCATGATCTGCTAATCCTTATAGTAAATGTAGGAAAAGGACTCACTCACTTGGGTCTGAGGATCAAGAAGAGGCTGGTGGAGGATGCAGGAAACCATGGATAAACCACCAAAACTGAGAGGAAATATTTGGAGACAGAACATGTAAAGAGCGATGTGGTCCATATGTTATTGTCTTCCCATGGAATCTCTGATGCCAAAACCGATGATAACCAAATTACAAACTAAACCTAAATAAAAGAATTAAAATGGATAGTAATTGCTTGACTGGATATACGGAAGGCGAGAGGAGTTGGGGAGAAACAGAAGACTCACAGCTGCTTACAGTCCATGTTTTTTTTTTTTTTTTTTTTTTTTTTTTTTTTTT